GTCTCTGTCCTCTTCTCTCCATCTCTCATCTCTCCCTATTTGGTTTTCTTTCTCTTTCTCTGAGCTCTCACTTGACATGTCAATGTGTCAATGTCATATTACGCGGCGGCAATATACATGAAACAATTTGTCGCATGATAGAAAAAGTGAGCAACCTCTTTATTACGCACGAGCAAAACAGCCTGTCTTTGAGGTATACGGTCATGCTCACACACACACACACACACACACACACACATATATATATATGTATATATAAATGCATATAAAGACATGTGCACAGATACACAAATACACTCAAAGTCAGACAACATGTGCTCATACCCCCAAACACACACATATAGTTTCAGTGAAAAATCACCTGCTTGTTTCAGGGGAAAATAAGAGGCAGCGTGGAACATGTCATCAGATCGGAGAGGGAGATTCCTCAGAGACCTGTGGCCTAATTTCTTATTTTCAAGAGGAAACTTATCTAATTATATATAAGTTAACTTCCTAGTGGTCGATTCAAGGGCAGCGCTGACTGGTACGAATGAACAGCCTTGAAAGAAACAAGGCTATCACATCCTGCTCTCCTCAGGCGAGTTGTTTTCTCTTGTCTTTAGACACACAACCATATCTCTCCACTGATGTACTGCTCACACACAGTGGTGGGTTGTCCATAATGTTGTTTTGTTAAATACTGTGGCCATGTGAGTGATGTGCATGTTTGTGCATGTGTGTGAGGGTGTACTGTGGTTGAGCTGCACTCACATTGTGTTTACATTGCATTACATCCAAACTCAAAGATAAACAAATCCAAATTATCTTGCTTGCTTGCATACATATACTCAAACTCAATCCTCATCATGTCTTAAAAAGAGCAAAAGTTTGTACTGTATGTCCTGACATTTTTTCTTGTATGATTAATTCAGCAAGGTGCTTTAAACTCCAATCAGATCGTCTACCCTATAGGGGGTAAAACACATATTTGCAGTGTTCTGTCTGGCAACATTAAATTTGCGCATATCGATGAATATGGTTTCCTGTCTGCTCCTCCTCCAAAACATCTCTGTGTAGCAGGTAGTGTTAAAATCATACATTAATGACAGCGAGACATTGCAATGTTTAATAAGATTTGACTCTAGAAATGTGAACTTGATGCTAAAGGATACAGTCGGGATAAACTGCGAGCATTTTGCTGCATATGTGGAAAATTAGTTCCAAATCACATACGTTTTCTTTTTAGTAAATACTGCAGCTGTACTGTTGCATGCAGTATGCATAAATTGTGCTGAGTCCTGGGTGCTGGGTGAATAACTTCATAACTTCGCACCTTGAACTTTGACCCTCTGGCTCATACTCATGCCAGAAAAGCATGCTGGCTTGCATAATGCAAAATGCGACCGGATGCAGTAGGACATCCTCATAGTTTTGGCATACTATGTATTGGGACATATTAAATATTTTTCTGGTATACTAAATAGTACCGTATTATGTGTATTGGAACCTACCCTGTGTGAACGTGAAAAATTATTTGGACGCATCAGTGAGTGACTGAGTTTGGCAAAATGCACAGGTTCGATAAGTTTCAACGGTAATTATCATCTGGAAAGAGCAGTATACAAAACATTTAGGTGGCAGCTTGTCATGTTTAGCCAGTGCAGGCCATCGCTCTCCCCGGATAAAATGACGGCAGCAGGTCATATCAGCTGTCGTTATTTAATATTCCGTGAGTAACTTGATGGCCAAAATAAAACTTGGCTGTTGTCTGGTCAAAGTGCCCTTTGCAAACTGGGGTCTGTACAAAGATCGTTTATGACATAAAAGAAGCATCATTCTAATTACGTCTCTGATTCACATCAGTTTCAGGAGGGGCATTTTCCCAGTTAATCTTTCATTCATACAATATTAACAATTATAAGCTCATTAACTAAATATTTTTGAACCAGGATCTCCAGCATTGGATCAAGCAACGTGTCAGATTGTGCAGTCTACAGCTGTTATTTTAATGTGTCAAGATACATATTTAATCAACATTTATGTAATTATAAGTATCACTTTTCGGAACAGACTCAGTATCTGCAAATGCCTTGAACTGTTTTGCTACACAGCCTGTGTGAATCCACAGCCATGGCTAATGGCTCTGTGACTGGACCAAAGCGGTCGACAGACCGACAGATCAACTATGCCATCCCTAGAGCCATGCCACTAGCGTGGCTGAAAAAGGAAGGGAAGAAGGGAAGGAAGGTAGAGACAAACTGAAATAAACAGTAAAAAATGATGGACACAGATTCACTGACAATCTGTTTGTATAACTTGGCAGGAGGACTGTCAGTCAGACAGGTAGACAGACAGAGACGTAGCAGGTGATCAGGCAGCCAATAGAAACAGACAAAGAAATATAAAGGCAGAAGGACCGAAGATCCAATCATGGCGCAGAGTGCTGCTTTCTCCTTCTCCAAGTTCAGCCCTTAGGCAAGGCCCGGTCTGCTTCTCTCGCTCCCTTCCTCCCTCTTACCACCATATGGACAGAGCAGCCTACACTCCAGTATATCTCATCAAACACAACCTCTATGGTCTTCCCCCCCCCCCATCCTCGCTCCACAGACAATGTACATATTTGGTCATGTTTAAAGTCACTACTCTGCTATCTCTGTGGCTTTGGGAGAACAGTGAATAGTTGGCAATGAGGGGTAATCCTTCTTAATGGAGTCCCCAGCCCTCAGATGGATTGAAGTCCAAGCAGCACACAAATCATATAAAGACACATTTTATTACTCTGACAAAACGGGATGAAACCTTCATTGTACTTTGAAGAGCTAACTACCCCCCTCTTTCATTTCAGCCCCCTCCCTGTCTGTCTTTCACTGTCTCTTCTTTTCTTCATCTCTTTCTTCTGTCTGCCTGTCTTCAAGAGCATTTCATCCTGACCAGTCTGGGATTTTATCACGCTTGCTTTGGTCATTACATCACAATTATGGAGCTGTTGGTACAGGAGAAATAAGAGACGGGGAAAAAAAGAGGAAGAGTGGAAAAAAGCGACAGATGAAATGTAGGTCAGTGGAGATGTGCTGGGGGCAGTTTCTCTCTCTGTTTCTCTCTCTCCCTGGGCCACAGTTAAAGAGGCTAAAAGAGACCGGGGGTGAAAAGTGCCTCTCACCCACACCTGCCTCTCTGCTACCTCGCACAAGACGGACAGAAGCTCCAGCAGTGTTATCTCTTAGAAAACCACTCTAATGACAGACGCTGAATGCTGGGGCGTGACACTAAGCGCGTGTGACAGGAGTGGCTCTTTTCACCACTGTGAGGACAGACCCTCACTTCTGCACAATCATGATGTGATCAGTTTTTACATTTTGTTAATATTTCACCGAGCGTGGCACCAAAGGTCGGTCCTGGGGTCAAAGAAGGCCTAGTGGGGTTTTCAGGTGACTAGTGTGATCACCAGGGTATGCTATGGCTATTAATCTGCTAGTAGTGACTAGTGATAAGCCAAGAACAGTGTAAAATAGTCTGAAGGCTCAGTTGTTCCTGTTTAACCTTGAAACAGAACATGCAGATGTCTTGCACAAAGCTAAATATGTTATCTCATAGGCTGGTGTTCATATTATAGAATTGTCTTCTGTAATTACTGCAAGGTGTTGCAATTTATTGCACTAAGATTGTGCAAGTGTGTTAAGTGTTATACGGTGAATATACAATGAATAGTTTCCAATAAATACACTGAACCAGGTCATGCACTGTATGCCAAACTAGACCATACCAAACTACACTGCCAAGTTTTGAGGTATAATATATTGTAAATAAGCCTGTAAAATACATGCATCATCCATCCTCATGGTATAGGTTTGGATCAAATATGCTGCACATGCATATGAATAGCCAGCAGTCCCACTGTGTCATTCATTGTACAGTACAGTGGTCATAATGAACCTACTCTTTAATTTTCCAGGTCAGTATTTCAGTGTTTCTCAGAGGAAGGAGAGGACCCCACCCTGAAAGCTATCCTAGCGACACCTGAGACAGCTTGTGTCATCGGAGCTGCTTTTCTTTCTGTGACATAAGATATATTAGCCCCTATAACCTCTATAGGACAAATGTATTTTGTTATTGTTTAAAATACCTACGTACATTTATATAATAATCATAGTGTACGGTAATTTAATAACTACAAGTTGAACATCAGCATGAGATAATCATTTGTTGTGGTGAAGTATCCTGCTTTGTGCACTAATCCATGCACATATTTACTTATATGCATTAAAGTATTAAAGCTTAAATTAAATAAATCTATTTAGTTTACATTCAACATGAACTAAATATGTATTTGGTTCTACATTGATAGTGTTTATAGTGAACCAAATTAATTTTACTCTGAGAATGTGCCGCCCAATCACACTTCTATCTCCAAAGCTATCATGATAATATTTGTGTCATTGTTTGTCTGTATCAATCTAAAGTCCATGGGTTAGCTCTATCATCAGCATTTGTCATGACTTACCAGCAGTATTTAAATCAGCTTGTATTTGAACCACAAGCAATGCACCCTTTGCACACTAAAAAAAAGTGACATTAACTCATATTAAAGCTTGCATTTAATTTGAAACTATTTGGCTTTTGTTCATTGTAAATTAATTTGGTCAAAACAGCCACATGTTTCTAAGAACATTTTCAAACATATAAAACTAGAGGATAATAATCTATCCCCAGTAGATTTCATCAGCCTCCTGGAGACTAAAGGTGTATTTTCTTTCCTGCATGCATGAAAATAGCCTAAACTGCGTGGAGCTGACTACATGTGGAAGGTGACATTAAAACTTTGCCGACTGTGTCTGTGTACTGTAGAGACAGAGTGCGCTCAGGCTGTGTGTGTGTGTGTGCGTGTGCGTGCGTGTGCAGGCTCCGGGCTGGAGGCTGAGCAGGAGAGAGTGGGAGGAGCGGAAAGTGCTCCAGTCCAATCCGGGCCGCCGGGTAAAGCCTCTCCTATACGCTCTTCCCTCCCTCAGCCCGCAGAAAACAGTGAAACCCTCCCATAGAGGTGAGAGCGCAGATGTCATGAGAAAAGCGACCACACGACCAGAGCACAACGACCGACGCACCGACCGACCTCAGCCAGCCTCCATGCGCCCCAGTCTGGGATGCTTTTAGCGCAGAGACGCCTCCACTCAGGGCAGCCAGTGGACGTCGACGCAGATCATCAACACTTATTTCGTTGTTGTTGTTATTTTTAACCGAGGATCTTCCCCCCCCAGCATCCCCCACCCCCTTTTAAGTGTTTGTGTTTGTTTCTTCATGACTGCTGCTTTGGGAAGCGAGCCTCAGCACCAGCTCCAGCAACGCCAACACCATGCGAGGTAAGACCATCCCACTGCTCCAAACACCGCCGCACTTTCCCCAAATACACACTCACACACACACACACACACACATAGCGCGACAGGCTTTATCCCACATTTGGCCTTGAAAGTTTATTCTGGGTTAATTCTAGTTTTTAGCTGCAAAGCAGTTTTTTTTGTCACTTTTCCACAGCCGGACGGAGGGCGTGTGGTTGGATGTCGCAGCACCTGTCAATATAAATGCATTTAAAGTTTATTTGGATCTCTCTGCGTTTGTGTGATTTGAGCCCGAGTGTGTGTTTTGTGTGTGTGGAAATAGCCTACAGTTTAGCAAAATCATTCGCAAATCCATTGGAGTCTATGACTCTAAATTAAAAGTGGCGCATGATGTTTTCCTTTAAAGCTTAAATCATTTGGGCTGCACTCCACACCAACGGAAATTGCGGATAGGCTGGCACCGGGTCAGATCAGATGATGCGCGGATAAATTACTTTATTTCGTTATGTTCTGGTGATAAAGTTTATTGAACGTTTCAGGGATACTTTTCACGCGCTCCACTAACCCATTAACGTATCGTTCTGCACCAGCACCACGCGGGGGTTGTTGAAATTCAACGTCAATGTCGTCCTGCGCGCGCGCGCGCACTCACACACACACACACACACACACACACACACACACCTAGGCCTACACTCTCTCTATCTCACACACACAGATCCACAGTCACTCAGGTCAACGCAGCCCTCTCCACTCTCACTAAGCCTTTCCTTGCAGTTAAGTTTCCATTCTCTTTCAATCAGAAAATCCGTTCCTCAGTCAGTGGGCCTTGCAATTTGCAGTTTATCGGTCGATGTCAGTCGAACACGAATGCTTTAATATTTAACCTGATTGTTATCGGCTTAGAGTTTTGGATTTGTTTTTATTTACTCTTCTTAATGTCGTGCAATAATCGCTGACGCAAAGTTGCAACACCGGGATGATCTTGAACTCAAATTTTATAAATTAGCCTGTTTTGAACCGCCTCATATTGCTTTGTGACATTTGGAACAATTAAACTAACTCACATGGATGTCTGGATCTTTCAGTATCAAGTTGGAGAAATGGTTGGAGAATTTCGACCACACTCTAAAGTCTAAACTTCACATAAAACGTTAAGGTTCGCACTATAATGTAAGGAAAATAACATATTGTCAAACTAAAATACAGCTGCTTAAAAATTGTAAATAAAACAAACACTTTCTCTGACTTTTTACAGAGAGGTATGGCCATATTCTAATCAGATGTATAGTTATGTAGTAATAATATCAGAGAAGGAATGATTTGCCAGAATAATTATTTAACAGATTATTGTTAATATTAGTATCACCATGATTATTACTTATAATGATAAGCAACATTAATTCTAATCAAAACTATTATTTAATGGGTAAAGTAACTTCTGACTTTATAGTCATTTGAATCCAGTTTTTATTTGAAATACATGTTTAAACATCTATCTATCTATCTATCTATCTATCTATCTATCTATCAGTTTCCAGATACGCTTTTTTTAATATTTGAATGTCCTATAAAACGTTCTGCTGCCTCAGCTTCAGGCCAGCCTCTGGCAAGAAAAAAACATGAGAAGGCCAAACACCGCCCTCCTCTCTCTCTTATCCCATGGCAAACTCCTCTGTCATGCACCTTGTATTTTATCCACATTTTAATGGGCCTCGCGACCACTCTCGTGCATTGGAGGCTTTGGGGGGGTATACTGAAAGCTCCTGCTTTCACTTCATAGCCGTGGTTGGCAGAAGAGGCCCCTGAAGCGTCTCTCTCACCCCTCTTTCTCCATGTCTCTCTCTTTCTCCCTCTCTCTCTCCATCTTCCTCTCTCCCTCTGCACGCCCCAAAGGGTTTTGTCAGATAGAATTAAATCAGTGTGGGCCGTGTGGCCCCCACTCTCAACCGGTGTGTGTGTGTGTGGACTCTCGGCTGCCCTTACACAGAAATGTGCTCACAACCACAAGGTTATAAAAAATAGAGGCCCCTCACGAGCCGTGGTAATTATCATTTAACAATAGCCCAACTCCTGAAGCCCTGACCGAAGATGATGTCACCAGAGAAATAACAGACAGAATAATATCATCAGGGCCTTTTCTGCATCTCAGAAAATGGAGCATTGTGGGGTTTTTTTCCCAATATGGCTTAGTGTTGTGTAGGATGTTGTAAACAGGCTAATTATTTCTGTATTTTCAAAGGCAACATGATGATGCTGCACTATGAATAATATTCCTCTAAAACCCAACAAAGAAGTTGTGTAAGCTAATAAAATGACATCGGTAACAGTGGCATTATATTTTTGAGCGGTTAAAAGTTTTGGTGATAGCAAAGTTTAATTTTCCATGAAGAGCATGAATACATAAGCTTCAATGGAGAAAAAATTACAAAATAATACAAATTACTTCATTGGTGTAATCTGTTTGATTTTAATTGATAATAATTTCAATCGTTGCATTTAAATGATAATTTTTTTTTGCCATATTTTCAAACAGAAATAAATTCGGGTATCCAAAGCAATTAAGAGCCTATCATCAACATCCTCCATCCTCATGAGCAGCTCTACTGACATTTCTGCTAAAGATGAATATACACACTTATTGTAGACATGTATTCTGCATGTCAATAGTTTCCTATTGTCACAGAGAACCTTATATTAGTCCCCATTAGCCTGTGTCTGTGTACACTTTGTGTCAGGCTCCCGGGTCAGACAGGTCAAAGAGTTCAGTGATGGAGGGAGCAACAGGGGAGGAAGGTTCCAGGGCGCCATTTGATCTCCTCTGTTAGCGATATGTGTCCATCACCATTTCCCATGCTCCTTCACCCTGGGAAAAGATAGGATGACAGAAACTGGGAGAGCGTGAGAGAGCAACAAACCAGTAAGGCAATGACATGCGGTGTCAAACGAAGAGGACGGGAACTAATAAAAACTTATTAGTGGTTACTACAATTCCAACATCATTTATATCACTTTGCAGGATGGTTCACATACAGACACAGAAAGCACTGAAAACACACACACAAACACACACACACACACACACACACACAAACATCTGCAATACTACGCATGACGGCCTCATGCCAATAGAATTAGTCAAATCCTGCTTTGCTTGGAGGCTTGTGTGAGCATTGATTTGTCTAATTCTAAAGCATCCCGGGATCAATTTTTAGTCAAAGCCAACGGAAGCAGTGTGTTTAGATAAATCTATGGCACATAACTTGGATGGCTTTACTTTACCTTAAATGGTCCATGCCTTTTAGAATTTGATCCATAAGCAGGCAGCATTTATTAGTTCATTTATTTTCAGAATAATTTTCTGTTGTAATGGTTGTCCCTATTATTTGTTGTATAAAATTAGTCAATATGTTTATAAGATATTGGTACACTTTACTTTAACCCCCTTATTTAGCATTTATAAATAAACATTGAATAATTTGTTTATAAACACACTATAATGTAGTTGTAAGATAATATTAGGGTTATTAATGTATTTGTCCATTACTATAAATCTTTCTGTGTGCACCCATAAGTGGAAGCTGGTTTATACACAGACAATGAATGACAGCATAGTAAAACAGAGTTGTAATAATAGGAAATATGTCTTTATATGAGAAGTTACAATTGTTGACACTTACTGTACATTTAATAAAGACTTAGAATTATAGTGTTATAAAACATTTATATAATGCTTATAAATGCTAAATAAGGGGACTTATCAAAATACAAATGAGAGAAACATGTAGTTTGTCTCTCTGAGTGCCTGTATATGTAATTTGGCTAACAATGAACAATTACACCAAAATATGAATACTGACATACTTCATACTGATGATGAGGGAGCCTAAACCAGTAGCACCATCCTTAGTCAGAAACAGCAGGTTAGCGCACAGATTTTGTCCCCAAATCACTTTTTACCATTGTTGCCATGAAATCACTTATTGCGCACAATAGTGGGCACCTGGCCTGAGTGCATCTCCGGTCTGCAGTGTTATTGGGCTCTGTATGGTCTGTTGTCAAGCTCTGTGTTGATGATTGTGTTGCTTGTTGTGTGTTTGTGCTGACTAATGGCCCAGTGTTATGTAAGAAGAGAGGAGAGATTACCCCAAGCCCATGCAGGCCACACTGTTAATCCCTCAACACAGCCCTACTGACTGACTGTGGTACCGCCAGAGTGCTGTTGCAACACACACACAGACACACACACACACACACTTACGTTCAGGACTCACGTCCCACTGTCTGTGCACCTGTCTTCAGATACCCACTGTCTACTCCGCACCTAGTTTGTCTGCCTGACCTTTTTTTCAGGCTGTCTACTAAAAACATCCCACCATGCTGTGTGTGTGTGTGTGTGTGTGTGGCCTGGATGGCACTTCTGTGGTCCCACTGAGCCGCTATCATAGCCCGTGTTTGTTTAGCATGTGCTCAGCGTGCACTCCTTGTTGGTTTTATCCCTCTGCGGCTGTCTGGGGGAGTCTAGGCGAACAGTTTTTCTCCTTAGCCAATTCTCTCTCTCTCTTTTTTAATCTTTATACACAAAGCGTGGGCTAGGCGGCGTGCTTCGGTTTGTGTCTCCACTTTATCGTAGCCAGGAGGGATTTCAGCCTGAACCACTCCTAAACTCTAAATCTGCCTTGAAGTCATGGAGTCCTCTGACAGCTCCTTCTGTTTTGTCAGTTTTACTCATCCATGAAGCCAGCATGTCTCAATGGAGGCACAATGACATTCAATATTCACATCAGCCTTCGATTTACATTGAAGTAAGACTGGGGGAAGAGGGTGACTGTGCTTGTTAAACGCCGAATCTGAGTGATGTACGAACAGAGAGACCTGTTATTAAAAAATTTGCTCATATCGAGGCCATTTGAGCAGGAATTGAGTTTTGCTGTCTCATTATCAGTCTCGTTTTGTGGAGAGAGATATAGAATGCAATGTTTGACAGTCCAAAGTCTGAGAGCATGTTCATGTGCAATTCT